ACCTACTCCATTCTCCAAACAGCTTTCGCTTTAAATCATGGAAATGTACAAATGCTTGGGAGGCCTTCAAGTGGGGTTTTTGGAGGCATTGTGGTTTTGTTTTGTACAACTATTGTCTGTTACGATACCTAAACCACACCAACAGTGTCAGTTCACATGGTTCTTAATCTTAAAAATGTACTTGGAGAGACTTAGGGTTTGGTTCAACTCACAGTGAAAACTAGTAGCGAGTTCTGAGATTCAGTGGTGATAGCTGAGGCTTATGATTCAAACAGCAGATCCAGATGGGCTCCTGTATTCAAATTTTCCAGCAAAAGTGTTTGTAGTTAGAATTGGAAGTTGCTAATTTGTAAGAAGCTTTTAAAAAAAAGCTCCCAGTCTCCATCTCTTAATGCTGTGCAAGTTACATATCTCCCAGATCTTTGCTAATGCTAATTTAAAAGGTCAGAAGTTACTGTAACCTCGGTCATAGACTGTCTGAAGATAGAAACAGGCACAAAGCAGAGAATAGACAAAATATACCTGTCAAAATATGTCTAACTCCTCAAGTATTGTAGAGGTTTCCTGCTTCCTTTCTAGCATGTAAACGTGTGGTTTTACTTGCAAACAGCTAGTGGTGAGAACAATACACCTTTTGTATTTAGATACTGCTAATACTGGTGTTCAGTATTTCTTATTCTTTAGAAGTGATTCACACAAAGTTCTTCTTTTGCCTGGTCCTGCAGGCTTTTGGAAAGTTGGCTTGTGTGTGTGTGTGTATTTTTTTGATTAATGGAAGCTGCTTTGTTTAAGGATGCTTTCTTCAAATTATCCCCTTACAGTGGAAACCTGAAATCTTTCATTTTGCCAATTAAAAAAAGAAAAAAAAAAGTTCTTTTCTGACAAGTCAAAAAAAAAAAAAAAAATAGTTTTTCATCCAAATGCACTGAGTCGTAAGTTTTTTTTGCTTGTATTAAAGGCTAATTTTGGGGTAAAAAATGAGTATTTGGTTTTGATGAGAGAATACGGAAAAGAAACCCAGAGTAAGTGTTGGCAGTGGGGAGGAGCACAAATAGGACAGGCAAGAGGGTGGAAGGGAAAGTTTTGGAGGAAGTGTCAATGTGTAGCATGACAGTTCTGCACAAGGTGAAGTAAGAGCTGCAGAACTCTGTAGACTGGTCTGCTGCTGTCACAGTAGTAACTTCACAGAAAATTTCCACCGGAAAAATGGTGTCTTTGAATTAAACCAATTATAAAATGGTACTTCATTAGAGGAAAAGACACCTGAAAATTTACAGGTCAAATCAATATTGTGAGATGGTGATTTTTATTTCCATTTGTCTTAAAATACTTCTATTTTTCTTAGTTTCTGAACCTAAGATGTAAAGGAATTCTGTTTTAAACTGCAAGAAAAATTATTCTTTTACATTAAACCAGAGGGGTAAGCTTGAAATGAGATCTTTCTTTCCTATTTGCAATTAGTTGTCTTAATGGTGGGTAAAGTTTTTCTCCCTTTATTAGTGGAGATTTTTTTTTCCCCAGCACATTTTTAACTATTAGTAAGCCACTCAATATTGTGTTAGGCACAGATAATGTTTATTGACAGTTAAGATAATGAAATGTTTTGTTGGGAATGAGCAGTTGCAGTGCTACATGTCTATTGTTCCTCAGTTAATCCTGGCTTGCATGGCTTCTACTGCTGAATTTGAAGGCCTAAATGGATCACAGAATCATTAAGGTTGGAAAAGACCTCTAAGATCACCTAGTCCAAGTGTCATCCCATCCCTACCATGCCGACTAACTGCATCACTCAGTGCTACATCTATGTGGCTCTTGAACACTTCTGGGACAGTGACACCAGCACCTCCCTGGGCAGCCTGTGTCAGTGCCTCACCACTCCTTCTGAGAAGAGTTTTCCCAATATCCAGCCTAAGCCTCTCCTGCTGTAACTTAAGGCCACTGTGCCTTGTCCTAAAGTACAGAAGCACCAGTGTATACTCCACTCGTAAAACAGGATGCTGAGAAATGCATGACCTCCATGAGTAACTGAAACTCTGAGTTATCATCACCTATCCTTCCTCACATGGCCAGCTGCAGGTGTAGGAAGCAGGCAGCTGCCCAAGGTTAAGTCAGCTACTGTCAGCAGGAAGGGGATTGCTTGCTTGTCCTGTGCCAAGGCCCTGTGATTCTGCTGCTGCCAGAGGTGTAAGCCCTGACCCACAGTGCCATTGGCCTTGCAGCAGCTGGGTTTGATATCCTACACCTCCTTATTCTAGCTTCTTCCCTTCCTCCTTCCCACCCCTTGCCATGGCAGGAGTGGCTTGTCACTGGTCTCTCATCCTTGGGCATCCGAGCTGCTTTGATGTGTACCGATGAAATGCCCTCAGCTGGCTCTGCTTGGCTGTGCAGTAAGCCTGCAAGAGTTTTCTTCTTGCTGCTTAAGCGGCGCTGAGGTATTCATCACCTGCAGCTGCTGATCAAAGAGGAGGGAGACTTCTCATTGAAAATACCTCCCTGCAGATTAAACAGTGCCTGAGTCAATCTAATTTTTAGCAGACTGCCATGAATCTGTGAGCCTTTCTCTTTTTAGAGCAGTATCTGCAGCTTTCCTTTTAAGATAAAATGCTAGGAGAAAGTCAAGCTGACAGCAAAAATAATTCCTTATTTGTATATAGAGTTTGCATAAAGTACATTCCAGCAGTGTTTGTTCTGTCAGCTGTTGGAGAACAGACCTGTTTCTTTTATGTTTACGCTTCTGTTTTTTGGTCTGTGACATACCAGGCACTCTGGTAGAGTGGAAGCCTGGCTGGATTGAAGCGGTATATAAACGGTTCCATTTTTGGTGCAGATCTAACATCAGAATGGACATCTTTGGGATGTCAGAAAAGAAACTAATTACGGGCGTGAGTTTTGAACTGCCACCCTCTCCTGACAAATGGCCTGGGTAATTGGAAGCAGTAGAAGAATCCATGCACACTCTAATCTTGCTGGGGGAAAAATGTCATCTATCATCAAATAAATCTTTCTCTTTGCCAAATGAATGTTGAAATGAGAGTTCTCTAGCATTTTCTCTTGATTGTAGAGAAATAATAATCCAAAACACTAGTAAAATAAGTTACTGTGTTAGCATTATGTACGTGCAAGAAGCTGCAAACAAAGTATCCAAGAAAGGGAATTAAAATTGAAGAAGCAGGCTAGCATTTGGAGCTCAGAGATGTATGTTGTCAACATTTTCTCGCTGTTAGGTACAAAGGCCAGTTTTATCTGGGATGTCTTTTAAACTTAAAAGCTATCTGGTGTGTGCTGGAGTAGGAGCCATCTCACGGACACCCATACAACTCTGGCAGTGCAGGGTGTGACTTGCTTGCAAGTCCAGACCCCATACTGATGCAATGGGGATTTTTAGACTTCGTATTGCAGGGAATACAATCCTGAAAGTAAGATCTGAAACTGAAGATGCAGCTGGACTTTTTATTACTTCATTCCCCCTAGATCTTTGTATTTGCTGTACATTTATTACTTTTTTTGTTTCTTGCCATGGTAAGATCTGATTGGTCTGATATTTCTTGTTTCTTCTTTCCAGGCTGTTTTGGACATGAATTTTACCTGAATCCTAAATTCAAGCTTTTCTTTCTGGTGCTCTTATTATCTCAGTATTAAACAGAAGCCCCTTTTGGAATTAAACATATTGAGTGCTTTGAATATCACATATGCTTTGTGTGGTTTGGCACTTCCTAGAAAATGGCTTAAACTGAATGAGAGTCCTAATGAATTTAGCACACCTCTATTGCTGATCATAGCTGTATGATAGCAGGTTGCACATGGAGATCTGAGCCTTATTGCATCAGAAGCTGCATCTCCTGTGGGGAGATTCTCAGTCCTTAGAAGAGTCTGGGAGGCAGCTCTTGCCTCAGACACTTCCAAAAAAAAGAGTGAAGACAGAAAGGGCTGCAGGTAGGAAAGGTCTCTGCTCAGGGCAGACAAGGCAGAGCAGACTGCCTGCTAGACAAGGGCAGTGTAGGAAAGGGGAAAAGCGCATCCTGTTCTACTCAAGCGCATGAGCTCCATTAAGGAATGTACTAATGGAGATTAGAGTGGACAGTAACTCTAAATTTTGCTTTTAGTGATTTTTTTTTTTGTTCTTTGATTCATATTTTAGTGGCTTTTAAGTTTTAAACAAACATTTAGAAAAATCGTTAATGCTAAGTGGACAGTGTGTAATAACTGTCCTTCTCAGAGCTTGTTCTACAAAGTGTATGGGGCCTTTTTCTCATTCAGCTTTGAGCTGGTGTCTGAGTATTCTCTGGTTCTTCTGCCTTTAACAGTAGGCATCCTACTCCTGTGCCAAGCACGCTGTATTTTCTGACTGATAGGCCCCACATTTTTATAGGTCAGCCCTTCTTTGGAAGATTTGGAACTTGTGCAGCATATCTTTCTGCCTTTGTACATTTACCTCAGCCTTCTTAAAATCTTGATGAGGGCTTAGCTCTAAACTCCAGGGTGCTTACTGTCCCACAGTACCCCAAGGGAAGGTTGCTCAAGCTCTGATGTTATGGACATGCTTTTCATTGCGGAGCTCCTTCATACAACTCTCCTCTGTTGGCATAGAATCTTATTTATCCTTAATTAATCTGATTTGCACAAGCCTTCTTCATAGGAGACAGAGGACCTTTTAAAACTTCTGTAAGTCTGAGTCTGGTGGTGTTGCTGTAGAAATATTGTCAGCAGCTAATAATAAGGAGCCAGGAACAGATGCATAGCTTTCAGAGACTGCTAAAGTGAAAGGATTGTGGATGCACTATCCAGGAAAAATAGTCCTCTTTTCAATTTTATCTTGCTAACATGAATCTAAAGACTATCTTGGGGCAGTTGTATTTATTTATTTGTTTGGTGATACATCATAATTTTTCACCAATAGCACTAGGAAGAAGTTGACTTTTTATGATGTTCCACTGAAATCCAAACTGGAAAATTTCTGATTCAGGATATTGGTGGTTTTTTGTTTTTTTTTTTCTTTTCTTTTTTCTTTTCAGTGAAAATGTAGAATGTTTGACTTTTCATGAATAGCTCCTTCCCTCGGAAATGTCAGCCTTTCATACAAATACACAGAAGTTGAAATTCATTATTGTAAGTACACGGTGCAGCTTCTACTGCTCCTTTACATTTGGAAAAGTAACATTTTTAAAACAACCAGTACTGAGCAAGAAAGTCAGGTCTAGAAATGTGCCCAGGAATACAGTTTGCAGAGACTTTTTTTTCCCATAGCTGTCACAAAGGGAGCTGGGGTAGCACTTTCCCAGCCCTGCTCTTTTATTTCTGTCTTCCGGGACTCTAGCAGATAAGCTCTGGTAAATCATGCTCCAGCGAGATAAGATGTCACCTTTCTCTTGCTGCTCACCCTCTGTCAGTTTGCTGGACTTCGTGGTCATGTAACAGAACTGGCAGATAGATATATGTGCCTTTTTGTCTCAGCTATTCCAGTGAGGCATATTTGTCTGGTGCGTTAATTTACATTCCTAACGAAAATGGATTTTCGCTGCTTTGCTGCACTTGAGAGCTGGAACTGCAGACAGATAGACTAGTCTGTGCTGGAGTAAAGCTGGTGGAATTACAGCAGAGATGGATCTGGCCAACTCTGGGACTCCTCACCTGGTCTCAGTAAACTTGTATAGGCAGGTAGAAATGCAGGCAGGCACGGAGTGGAGGGAGGTGGCTTTAATCTTTATATCTGTGAGATTTCACTTCAAAGAAATTTCTTAAAAAAATATGTCATGTGTCATAAGTCATATGGGCTCAACTTGCTATTTATTAAGTGTTCCTGACGTAGTTAATGTTGAACGTGCATTTTGTTGGGACTGATCATATTTTTAAAAATTGTCTCTAACTTGGATCATTGTCTGTGTATCCCAGTTCATTACAATATTTAAACTACTACTGCTGAAGACTAAAATAGTTCCTGCTATTGCTCCTTGAGTACAAACTCTTTCTAACTTATGGGAACCAAGTGTTCATCTGTTGTTTATGCAGCATATTAAACTGTCAGGTCTTTCCCCACTCATAAAATTCTGAGAAGACTGTAATTTCTTAGTCTCCAGTGATGTTCATACTTCTCTGGAAATCATCCCTAGTGATCGAAGCCTAGAGCCTTCAAAGTACTTCCTGGGATCTGTTCTATAACCGTATTTCTGTAGGCTTATGTATGACTGGATATTCTTTACTGTATGCCTAAATTTTGTGTGGGCTTAGTAAAGATGGGGAGTTGGAGAACAGTGTGCAGGAATGGATTTGTTCTGGGGGTCCTGGGATAGCACTGCTTTATGTAGTTATGTTTCAAGAACGGAACAAAAGGCCATTGATAGGCTCTGCTAGATTCTCATGTTAGCCTTTTGGCTTCTTTTGTTTTTTCCTTTGCATTTATAGTTTTAAGAGGAGTCCTTCAAGCTTCTTTGGACAATTTAGAATGTTGGGACTGGTTTCCCTAGAGATATTTCATTAATGAAGCAAGTGCTATTTTCCTCTGGAGAATGTCGTGTAATAAACTGTTGATGTTATCTGTTATTTTTTTCCCTCTGTAGCATTTATCAAAGGAAGTGCCAAGCGTAAAAATGAATCAGTGAAACTCAATCCAAAGGCTGCTTCAGGGATGTGCTCACCTCCTCAGTCCTACTTCTGGCTTCACTAAGGTAAATGTGTTCAGGTTTTACAAAGCTGACATTTCATGATTGCCCTTCCAATATCTTTCCAACCCTCCTTTACTCACAAACCTGAGTATTGTGTATACGTGTGTGGTGGAGTAAGAGGTATAACTTGAAAGAAGGTAACGAGGAAAGCAGCAGAAATGACTGGGACAGCGGCACGAGTTTGGAACAGAAGGCAGGAAAAAGAATGGGGAAAGCAATCACAGAAGGCCCCTCCCCTGTGTCATCTTACACACTAGTTCTACACAAGACTCACCTTGTGTTCACACAAAATGCAGCCAGCTACCTTTTGTGTAGGTGTGGGGATCTGTCCTTAGAGCTGCCTTTCACTTAGTGCTGCTGAAGGAAAGGGACAGTTGCCAGGAGAGAATTAGGGACAAATAAAAAAAAAAAGTAATGTTGAGTTGTAGCCACAGTTGTAGCGCTCAGCATCAGCAGAGTACAAGCTCAGCTCCTGTGAGAGAAAATAAGATGGCCTTGTTGGAGACTGAAGAGAGAAGCTGATCTCCAGTGTGGGCCAGTGGTTTGGCAAAGGGAAAGTACCAAGTCAGCACTCTAAGCTGTTACTATTTTTTTTCATCCCATTTAAAGCCTATGTTAATATTGGGAAAATACCTGCATTTTTAATGGGCTTTTATCCATCATGGAATTATAAAAGCTTTCAGAGAACATCCGCTGCCTCTGGGAAGGCTAGAGGGACTAAACTTCAGATTTCAGAGCCTGAGATGAGGAATCTGCTGACAGAGCTTTAAAATAAGTCACAGTAGAGCAGTCATGCTTGTGAACCTGAAATAGCCAAGGGAAAACACCCTTGCCTACTCACTGGAAAAGCTCAAGACGAAAATCTTGGTTATCACTGTGCAGCTGAGCAGTCCATTCAGCTCCTTTGTGGAAAGTTAAGCTCTAATGTCAGCAACAAGGAGACTTTGGCTAGTTAAATCTCTATTTATAGATCTATTATATCAGTATACCTTGTGGACTGATGTAGCAAATTCTGGCAGTGTGCAGTGGTAAGGATCTTACCATGCCTGTAGCTATTTATATACATAGAGGAGGTTGAAACAAAGCTGGTTATTTCTGAAAATTCATCTGGTAAAAACAATGTGTGCTTCTGTCTAGATAGTGAGTATCTGTCTTATACACAATTTCTTTTAAACTTCTCTTCAAAAATAGCCAGCAGTTCAAAAACACTGCCCCCAATGAAAATGATTCTGTTGTCGTGGATTCACCAAGTGTCAGTGCATTCAGTTGCATTTTAGTTATGTCATTTGAGATGGGATGCTCAGTTTCTAAAAGTATGTACAAAAGGGCAGAAAGAGAGATTTCAGTATATTTATTGAGTTTTAACTTAGACAATGTAGGAGGGCTTGCTGCAATACCTTAGAGCTTTTGAAAACTTTCTTTGCCATGAACTACCTTAGGGCTTGCCATCTTAGAAATGAAGTTTAAACTAAAAAGTACTTATGCTAGTACTCTGACTAGAGATGTTCTGCATTTTTAGCAGATGTACCACTGACCTAATGAAAAAAGACAAATAATTCATCACATTTTTGAGACTCTTTTTTTCCCTTCCTGAAATTTGAATCTTAGGAAAAAAAAAAGTCATTGATTTACAGAGTTTAAAAAAAAAAAAAAAAAAAAAAGTAGTGAGGAGCTCTGAAAACACTTCTCTTGCTCACAGCCTCCCTTTCCACACTCAGATATGAATTCTTGTGCAAAATGAGTGCTTGACATCACAGAATCAGAATACAGATTGATGACAGATTTATGCAGGACTTCAGTTCTACTTAACATTCATTCTATTTTGAGGATTATAATGAATCAAAGCACAAAACAGAATCAACTCCACTGTCAATCTCATGTGATCAAAACATTTTTTTCTTATGTTATACACGTTTGTTCATCATTTGTTTGGTGTTCTTTTTAGATATAGGAAATGTTTCTGTCCTTTGATGTGAATATATGTACAAAATTGTTTGGAAAATGAATAAAAAGCATCTGTACTGAATGGATAGTAAGAAAATTCTTGCATTTCAGATGGATCAGAGGTCTCTGATAGATCTTTTCTGGAGGTGGCTGAGACCTGATATGTTTCAAGAATCCACTAAACAGTAAGTAAGCAACAGATGACTTAAACAACTTGAAACTCTTGTGTAGTGCTTGAGATATTTTAATTAGATGAACTGCTATAGAAAACAGTAATAAAGACAAGAATCTGCAGATTGGAGTATTTTCCGAGGCTATTAAGAATGACTTGGAACAAAGACTCTTGACCTGTTCCTAGCTCTAATGCTTACTAGCAGTTTAACAATAGGTATACTACTCAAATTCTGTTTTATTTTAACCATTACATGATAAGTATTAAGATTTATCAATACGTAACTGCTGGTGTTGCCATTAAGTCTTAATAGACATTCACTATACAACAATGCATGGTCAGGTAGGAAAGGCTGTGGATGTGTTATTACGTTTTACAGCTAGGGGGAGTAGAAACTCAACTTTGACTCATGGGAAATCATAAAATAAAGGAAAAAAAGTGTTTTGTTTTCATTGGGAAAAAGGAAAAAAAGCACAACTTTAGAACTTGCCTTACAACCACATTTTTTCAATCCCGAGGTGAAAAAAAAAAATGGAGCCATTTTATTTTAAAACACATCCTGGCTATAGTTCTAGGGATTTTGCAGGCTGCTGCCACAAATTTAAGGACAACTTGGATGCCTTGGTAAGTAGAGTGCATTTGATAAACCATGATCATGCTGACTTGAGCAAGGATTCTTTGGACTTTCAGGGTCCAAATGTGAAAGTCTGTGTGTCCGGCATTTCATTTCTTTGAGGAATCCTACATTATCTGCTTATCTAGTGCCAGGGATCCCAAAACTTTCATGATCTGGAATGATGGATTTTCAAAGCACACTATTTCAAGAAAATGGTGGAACATGGGCTGTCTTGCGGCCACATGGAACTCATACATGATCTACTCAGTCAGAATCACAGATGCTCTGAAGTATCACCGTCTTCCCTGCTGGCACCATGGCATGGGCAACAGGAACTCTGAGAAAACAGGCCATAGTATCTGCACTTCCCATCTCTCACTACAGCATGTACCACTGAGTTTTTGGTGCAGTTTGGTCTCCTTGAGACAACTCTGATCTTGATGAAAATTTGTGAAATCCTGCCATATGAAGAGTCTCTTGGAATCTTTTTTGTCTAGTGGGAAGGAACCAGGCAATGAATCACAAAAAGTCTTTCGAATTGTGGCATTTCCACATTGAATTTTGATCTTAGTGGATCATATTTTTCAATGTTAGAAAAGCCATGTGGTGCTCTAGTTACAGTTTTGGAACAGTGAAGCTTCAAGTCAGCGCTGGTCTCCATTAGACTGATTTCAAGACAATGCCTTATAATTCTCCAGCTCACCCGCAAGCTCTTAGTATTTTTCTTTCTATGCTGAATTGTTGGGGGGCCCTGCTGTTGAACAGTTTCACACAGCTGCTCAATTTCAGTACTCATATAATTCTTTGTGCATTCACATGAAAGAAGTAAGCCTTTGCTTCACAAGGATTTGTAACGAGGTGCTTTGAGTGAAAGAAAGTGTAGGTGCAAACTAATGGTGGTAAAGTTCTATTGTACTAGATTGCCAACAAAGGAATATTGGTGTAATAAAATTCTTCCATTTATTGTACTGTGCTAAACAATGGGTAACATAATGATATGAAGAAAAACAATGGACTGCTTTGAATTGAAAATGAGAGAGAATCAAGTTTATCTTAGCATTGATTACATAAATAAACATGGAGGAAGGGCTTGTTTGCCCCTGGAAAATAGCTGATACGTGTATTTCAAAATATAGCATCTTTTTCTTGTCAGCAGCAGGCATCTTATTTATGTTGCCAGCTTGGCTTTTCTCTGATGCTCATTATATGGTTTAGAAGGGAGAGAACATTATATTTTGAGTCACCTGACCATAGCTGGAAAGTGCATTCCAGTCACAAAACAAGCACAGATTGAATTTTCAGCCTTGCATATACTATCCTACCTGCTCAGCTGTAAAAAAGATAAAGCTTGTAAAGATTGTAAAGAAGCACTATTGGCATCTTTACTGTTACAGCTTTTGGCTGCTTTTCCTGTTAGTCACCAGCTGGTGACCATAGAGGCTATCCCCCATATGAGAAGTAATTTGGTTTTATAATTCGATATAAAGGTATTGAGATGATCCATAGACACACAAGCCTGCCTCCAACAAGATGCACATTTTCTGCCTGAACACCTTCAAACCTAGTCTTCCTTCTCAGGATTCACAATACAGTTTAATGGGTATCAGCTGAAAGAGCTAGAAGAGAGATTCTTTATAAAATCTAGATCCACGCTGCCCAAAGCAAGCTGTGAAAACTGTGGAAAACACCCAGAGGAGGCTATGAAACATAGAAAAAGCCAAGAGATCAGCAGCTCAGTTTATCCAGAGATTCTGCAGGAAGGTCAGGTTCCAGGTCCTTGAGATAGCTGTAGACCTTTGAGTGATGTCCACAAGCAGTATTGGCATGGATTGCTGTCCATCGGCTGGCCAAAAGTGCTTGCTTCATGGTTAATAGGTGTCTTCTCAAATCCCTGCTTCTACTTATCTACTGAAAGTATGACAATGCTATTGATAAGGGTGTACAATTCTTTTAGCCTGTTAACATCTCTCATACATCAAACCAACCCCATGTATCATGGTTTGCTAAACAAAACTCAGATGTGGACTATAATTTAATTGTTATGAAGGATATTCCTTGTTACCAGTAACAACTCAAGTTGTGTTCAAGTCTGAATCGTTCGTTATCGGCACACACCACACTAGAATGTAGGTTGTTTTCCTCATCACATCACATATGAGACTTACTGTTTTTTTCAGTGGAGAACTCTCCTGCTATATAGCTGACAAAAAGAAGAAAAAAAAAAGTGCTTTTGACAACACTGGAATCATTTGTGTGAGGAGGAGAATTTTGCTTATGCTTGGTTAAGCAAGTAGAGTTAGAAAAAGACGGTCACTGGCATAATGGCTTTGTAGAGGCTCTGATAAAAGGGATGTTCAACCTTCCATCCCAGAGGAATCACATGCAACCTGAATAGTCACTGGGCATACCAAAGGCATGCTCCTTTTTCTCACAGAAGGGTTGAACATCACTAGCAATTTCAATGGGGAGGATATGCCTGCAGGAGTTTGTGTGGATGCTTGGACTTCCTTCTTGACCTGTAAACTTAATATCAATTCAGCACATGTTTTCAGAGTGAAGAGCAGAGTGAAATGAAGCACTTATGGTTGTAATTTGTGAATTTAAACTGCAGGACTATTTTATGTCAGCTGAATGGAAAGTTAATGGGGGCATCCATGATTTACACCAAAGAATCTGACCCAAGTAAAGGGAGATGTTTCTTTGTGTGTCTGTAATTCCAGCTGACTTGGTCTGAGACCAGGAAGAGAGATGGAGTAGCTCACATGGAAATGCAGTCTCATGCATTATTATTTCATACTTGGCAGTTCTTTTGCCTTCTTACCTTACCTAGCTGTATGTGGAGGTTCGCTGGCTCCTCACTCACTGTACTAGCTTGCATGTAGAGACTTGAAAGTATAACTCTGACTGAAGTAAACATGAATCATGCTACTGTGGTTGTCCATACCCTCAGGAGCAGAAGCAGGAAGGTAGTAATTCATGAAGTGCTAAAGAAATTCACAGGAGAGCTTGATAGAGAAGAGACTGAAGGTTAGTTGGTCCAAACAATCTCAAAAGTAGCATTAGTCTCCCACATCCAGCTCCATAAGATCAGAATCATTTCTTTTGAAATGTGAAACACTTTCTAATAATCCACACTTGAGCAAAAGTAAAGAGTTCCCATAGAAATAATCAGCTACAGCAATCATGATTTTGGCAAATGAAAATTGCTGGGCCAAATTCAACAAGTTCTTCATCTGTACTCTGCTAAATATGTGCTGGCACTGAAGGGAATTTAGTCCAAATAAGAGGGTAGTAATTGTCTGGTGCTGCTGGGCCAAGTGAATAATTCTGAATCTGGTTTCCTTTTGACTGCAGGAACACCAACAACGCTTGTCTGTCACAGGGATGACCAAGAAGCTGTAATTGGTATTTGCCAAATAATAAATAGCACCAAATGAACAGGCAGAAGAACTTGATTGTGTCCCAGAATCACAGCTGAGCTGAAAGATAATAATTAGAGGAATAAATAGCTCTGCATGTTTAGTCCATGAGATCTAGCATTTGGAAAGAGAGTCTGGCAGTATTTTCAAGAAAGTTACAAAACTTGGAAGATGAGGTTTTTTTTGCTTGTATTTGCCGTGCTCTAGAAAGTATTCCTTCTCTTCCAGAGATGCCTGCAAAGACTGCTCTTGTGGCAAAAAAAAAAAAAAAACCCCTTGTGACAGTGGACATACTTAGAATAGGAGGCTTCATGAACCCATCCTTATTTGTGCCAGCTGAAACACAGGATAGTGGTGTTTTTTGTTTGTTTGTTTGTTTGTTTTATTACCATGAAACAGTGAGGATAGATAGGGAGCATGGCCATAGAAGATTAATCTGAGATAATAGAAGTGAGATGGGAGATGAACTAATTGCAGTATTAAGGTGATAATGTTTTCTTCCAGATGTCATTAACTGAACATGGGCCTAAACCACAACAATACAGACTTTCCCTTCCTTCCATCCCTTCCTCCTCTGATGATGTGCTGTTACAAAGGGAATTTGCATTCCCTAGAGGCATCCTATTTCATTTAGCAGCGTCTTTAAATTCGTAAGGAAATAATTGGACGTTACTTGATTTGTTAAATATATTTTTAATCGACTCCCAGAATTACAAGCTTCCTAGGTTTAAGGGTATTCTTCCTCCTTTGGTTGCTAAGTTCTCTAATCAAAGAATTAATTACATAAGTGTAAGCCTGAGCAGCTCTTATACATTTGCTAAAAGGTATATTGTGGCTAGGTGATCATAAATAATATCTCACTGTATTAAGTTACAATTCAAAAATGCAGCTAAGTGTGCTCACTTCTTCTCCCTGCTCTTCAGTGAGTGTGGTATCTCTGTGTTTCATTAGTGGTGGTAGTTGTTTTGTGTTAGTTTT